AGAAATCCTGTGGAAACGTGCGTGGAGAACTGGCATCCTAGGGGATCTCTTGGCTGAGGTTTGGATGTGGATGAGCACAAGCTCCACGCATGCTCCAAGCTGCCTGGTGGCCATGCAGCTCTATGAGCATGGCATGGGGCCCACATCAATGCACCTTCCCTCTCAGCAAGGGGTTTATGTTTAGTGCCACCAGTGATGGGCACCTTGTTCCCAGGCAGAACAAGCTCGCACGGGCCTGCACAGAAATATTAGACAGAGCCTGGCAGTAAATCCTAGCTGGTGATCAGTATGTGGCAAGAGGGCTGCCGTAGCTGTGCCTGAGCATCAGCACTTCTGGTGGAAAACCACCCGTGTGCTGAATTGTGTTCCTTACCTCAGGCTGATTCACGTGGTTTGGACGGTATAACAGTGAGCCCTGAAGCACATTCGCCTCAGGTTGACACTAGAAATCAGCCCACCTGAGTGCGATGGGAGGGCTCAGCCCTTGCCAGGGTTGGGTCCAAAGTACTGAGGTTGATTTGTCCCCAGTTCCTTATTGGAGCAAGGTGGTGGGCCTGGTGGCTCTATGGCTCTTGCACTGGCGTTAGAGAGTCTGTCTCTCTCTGCCCCATAAAAACGCTGACAGAAATGGAAATTTCGAGCAGTTCCCTGCATGTGGTGTTTCACCTGGAGGTATTTTAGCTTTCCACCTCGCAGCAAAGCTAATGACTGGCCTGATGGGGCCCTGCCCCAAGGAGGGTTTGAGCATCTGTGAGTTGCTGTCACTCTGCCCTGGGTCCATTGCAGATCCCACTTCAGCTGATGTCCAGCACGCAGCGGAGTCACAGTAGCACATTGAGGAGGGTTTGAGCATCTGTGAGTTGCTCTCACTCTGCCCTGGGTCTGTTGCCGATCCCCCTTCAGCTGGTGTCCAGCACGCAGCAGAGTCACTGTAGCACATTAAGTACTTGAGGGAACGATGGCTTTGCTGCCCAGCTCCCGTGGCTGGCTGGGCGTGTTTGAACGGCGCGCGCTTAACGAGCTGTGCTTCATTAACCTGCAGATAGGCCAGCAGAAACCTTCAGAAACCCTGCTATGCAACGGGGTTTAAGTCTGTGCCTACTGGATTAAAACCAGGCCTGGCTGCTGCAGGAAAGTGCTCACAGAACTGGGTGCCCAAACCCTCCACGTCGGCTTTTCCTATCTCAGTAGCAGCACACAGGAGATGCAAAGACTCAGATCTGAATATTGAGTTGCATCTGGCTTTGAATTTATCCCTGCTGTAATTCCTTTAATTTCAGGAGTTTTACCTTAACGTTGAAGTAGATCTTTTCTTTAACAAAGCAAGATCTGACTCTGACAGGTTAGAGAGAAGGATCAGGAATATGTGCCTGCTTGCCCTGAATGTCACTTAGGGGTTATTTTCCGTGATGTGAAGGTCTCTGTGCTACTCTTGGCACTTTCTTTTCAATAAACTGTATTTTCAACGCAACCCTCTAAGGTTGCTTTGGAGAGGTTGTACTAAACAGGCACTACAGAGGCAGGTTCATGCCTCCAGAGAAAGCCATGAATGGAGCTGTTGAAAATGCAACTGTTCCTGGTGATAAACCATGTCTGTAGATAAGTCCTTGGCCATGAAATTTTATTATTCCATCTTTCCTTGTTCTAGAACGATAGTGGTCACCTGAGTGTATCTATGCTACGTATTTCCTTCCTTGCTGTTCTTAGGTTTGCAAATGTCTTTGAATTGCTTGATGTGTCTATTGAACATCTTTACTGAGAAAGACCTCAACAGGGAGAGGGAAGGTCTGCAGTTCAATTTTATTCTTTCTATGCTCAGTGACACTACTGATACACTGAGAGTTAAGAAACTGGGTTTTGAGTATTTTCTTAGTCATTCTACTCTGCTATTGTGCTCAGAGTCTATTTATTCCTGAGTACAGTCAGCTCCTGATTGCTGAAGGTGTCTTTGTACCCCGCTGCCCTTTTGCTTGCCTTTGACTATCCTGCTTTTTAAGTGCACAGCACACTGAAAAGTTAATATTTCTTTTTTCTTTCTTTCCTGATTGAGTTCTTCTTTCATGCAGAGAAAATACTGTGCTGGAAAGATAATAGTTTTGCCATTTCTCTTCACAGATTGTGATCCCCTTCTTCAGCCTATTGATCAAAGACATTTATTTTTTGAATGAAGGATGTGCTAATCGCCTTCCAAATGGACACGTCAACTTTGAAGTAAGATCTGAAAAATATTTTTTTATCTTTCCCGTTCTGATAGCACTATCTAAGACCACTTCCATGTACTTTCAGTGCAGACTGACAAAGACTGGATGTGCCAAAATGGGCAGTTCCTGAGTGACTGCTTGAAGGTTAAACTAATCCTAAACAGTTTTTAAAAAAATACAAAATATGCTTTTTATTTTTTATAAACATTGCAAACAGATCAAAAACCAAGCTGCGGGGTTTTCCAGTGCCGAGCGAACGGCAGATCCTGACTCGCTTCGTGTGGGTTGACTGATGGAAGTGTAGTGTCAGCACTAGAAATGATTATACATAATGGCTTGAAGGAGGAGGTGACTTCCCCAGAAAACAAGAAAAACTATGTTTCCTCTGTATACACTAATAAACAAGGCGCTATAAAGTGCTCTATACAGACAGAAATCAGTTCATGAGGTGAAAGTCATGCTCTTGGTGTGAGGATCAGAGCGTGCTCCTTCCTGCCTGCTGTTTTACATGAAAGAATTGCCATTAACTCCCCTAGGAGGACTTGCCTTCTCCCTGCAGGCCTGGCACTAGGGAATATTAGTCACGTCTCCTGCGTAATCCCTGTTCTGTGCTGGGGAGCTTCAGTTCACACCAGTGCTGCTTGTTGCTAGCTGCAATGTGCAGGTGCTCACACTTTTTACATTGTGCAAAGATCATTGCAAAGATTCGGTGCTTTCAAAAGAACTGCCTAGCGTCAATGAGAAAAGAGTTCTTCAGCTCTCAGATGTTTTGTAAATTACTTCTTCAGCACGTCTGTTGATGCATTAAATTTCTCCTTTAGTTACTGACATTGTGGGATGGTGAGTAATAAATAGGATATTGAGTTCAACATCCCTTAAATTGCACCAAACACCTTTGCCATGCATGTTTTCTGTTTGAAGGGGTTGGAGTCATTTTGCTTTCTGTATTTCTGTTAAACCCTGCTTCTTCCTCTCCCATCCAAGTTTATGCCCTCTGTTTTCAAATACATATGTGTAACCTGAAACGTGTTCATGGATGCATTTTTATTCAAGTACAAACTGAGACTGCCTGTACAAAGAAATGTAACACACCCTTTCCTGCCTCTTTCTGCTGTAATGAAGTAGGAAAATGCACCCATTTACAGCTGTACCAGATTACTTTTCCCTAATATCCCTGTGACTGACATGAAAGATCCTGGATCTTGATCTGTTCAGATATAACTTGATGGAATGGTTTTATTTTGCAGAAATTTCTGGAACTGGCTAAGCAAGTAGGAGAATTTATAACCTGGAAACAAGTGGAATGTCCCTTTGAGCAGGACCCAAACATCATCCACTACTTGCACACTGCTCCCATTTTTACTGAGGATGGTAAGAGCCTGTAGAAACTCTAGTCACTGAAAACATGTCTCTTCATCACCACTCATTAACACCCTAATCCTTGCAGCTTGTTTGACCCCAGTCTATCGGCATACAAATACTGCCTTCCAGCTCCTGAAGTTGCTCCCTGGTTGTTTTTCCCTCGTCCAGAACGTCTCTGGGAGGCACTGTGTAGTAAGTTGCTGTGATGGCCCTGATTTTGTAGGCAAGAAAAGAGGCCACACAACCATGCCATGGACTGCCATGGATGCCACTTGTCCTCTAGCCAAACTCGTTAAGGGATTGATGGAGCCGGGACTAATCTCTTCTGCAAACTGCCACTGTCAGCTCTTCAGCAGCAGCGCTCAGGGCAGTGCTGGCCCAGCTGACCTCCTTTACAGCAGCAAAGAAATGCTATCTACAGAGAGTAATTTTAAAGATATTTTTTCTAGTAATTAATTTAAACTGTAGCTAATGAAAGCCTTGTTCTGAAATCATTTCTCTGATCATCTTTTCCTTCTTATCTGGCCTCTTTTCCGTTTCTGTTTAATAGCCAGCGTGTCACACTGCGTCATTTCATACGGGTTGATGTCAGTTGCCTCTTGGTATATTATGTCACACAGAGATATTGTCTAAAGCCCTGTTCCCATAAGCTAACCTGGTGTTGGATTTATTTTTCCTTTTGATTCTATAGGCAGTTTTCTGTAGCCATTCATGTTAATCAGACCAGACAGCTTTTATTTCATAGACCACTTCAGAGGACGACATGCAGTCTCAAAAATCCTGCCTAAATCCCAAGAGAAATGACTGCCAAAGTGAAATAATTAATGTGATTAAAGTACTGTGTATCGCAAGGAGACACAGTGCTTTAGTTCTGTATTTAGGCTCGTGAAGAACACACGGTGAAAGACAGGGGTATCTCGGGGTGATGCTCAGGGTTTCTCTCCCCAATGTGCTCCGCTTTATTCGTGGTGCTTTCATGAGATGCCCTCTGCAGAAGTCACCACTCTCGTCTTAGCCAAAGGGAAGAGCAGCTCAGGAAGATCTGCCCTGAATAAAAAATGGGAGAACGCACTGAAGGGATGCAGCACTGTTATGCAAAATACAGCTGCACCGTGCTAGACATAATGTGAAGGAATAGCAGGCCAGCTCTTAAATATTAAAATACTCTTGAATTATAGCAGTGCTTTGAATACTGAGTACTGATTCTAGCATTAAAGAATAAAGCATAACTAAATAATCAAAAGAGAAAATGTGTGAACACAAATCACAACCTACTTTTAAAAAGTCTGTAAAGACAGTGAGATGTTAATGCCCTGCCAGCTTGTGCTGAGGAGACTCTGCAGCTTACACATATTTTGGCACCATAAAATGCAGCACAGAGTGCAAAGATTTTCAGAGGGGGGAAACAACAAAACTATTTTCCGCTCCTGTGTTCCTGTTCTGGCTTCTCTAACTCATTTTTATCTTGAGGGGAAGGTTGTCCCCTTTTGGGATGCCATGGGAAGATTGCTGAGGGAGATTATTCCTGTTGCTTAACATGATTTATCCTTAATGTAAAAGAGTTGGTTTAGCTGTCAGCTCTCTTTGTGTTCTGATAACACCTCTGATGGATATTGTGATGGAATAAAAGGTGCAGATCTCTGTATTCAAAACCAGACAGCTTAATATTGTTGCAGCAAATTCGTACTAATGTTTTTAGTTCTGGCCTCATTTACTGTTCCATCAAAATTAACGTAACAAATTCCCAAAGGTAGAAATGTTTTGAACATGAGTGTCCTGCTCACTACAGCGACCTGATGCAACATGGAGGTTTTACAGATTCAATTTATTGTGTGGGAAAGTAACAAGAGTAGGCAAAATCCATGGGGCCTACAAGAGAGCAGTGAGCAGAGGGGTTATTGCCCCTGTTGAAATAACTCATCTTTATCATTCCCAGGTTTGTACCTGGCTTCCTATGAAAGCGAAAGTCCAGAAAACCAGACTGAAAAAGACAGGTGGAAATCCTTAAGGTAACCGCTCCTTTCCTCAGCTCCTTGTGGGGCCCCTCCAAGTGTTGCACTGCTGCTCAGGGAGCCTCCTGACTGCGCTGGACCCTTGTGAAACGCTGGCGCTTAAAACGTGGCCTCTGACGGAGGCCTCTTCAGTGCGCGACTGATTTACAGAGCTGGGGGCAGCACTGGTACAGTCTAATGTTCATCTCAAGTTATCCACCATTTAAATAAAGCAAACCCTGCGCTAGTGCATTTTTACAGTCCTCTGTCTCTGCAAAAGAGGCCTCGTATAGGTGAAAAATACCTGGGGTTAATCGGATATTCCCACAATCTACATGTCTTAGAGGGGCACCATAAAGAAGTTTGGTGTAATAAAAGCTGTGATTTAATAGAAACAAACAACAACAAAACATTTGCTTTATTTTCTTATCATTGTTCTTATGTTTTAACTTTGCAGATCCACTATTTTAGGAAAGACTTGAAGACTAAGAGGTTATTGCAGTAGGTCAAGGAAAAAAAAAATGCGTGAACTTTTTGCACTACTGATTCCAAAGATGCCTGTTTGGGATTTAGACAATTCGTTTTGTTTGGGTTTTTGTTGGTTTTTTTGACTGCCTAACATGACGGATGAACTGGCTTCATCCTCGGAAATCGCCAGAACTGTGTTCGCAAAGATGCTTTTCTAACCAAGAGACAGGGGAAGGACAAAGTGTTTGTGGCTGTGCCCGAACTGCGTCAGGATCACTGTAACTTTTGCCTCTGAAGGAAAATATAAGAAAACCAGGAGCATGGAGAACAATGGTACTGCAAAAAAAGAATGAAAAAGTATTTAAAATAAGGCAAAAAATACATGCTTATTTCAGAAGCAGGTGCTTCAGATCTCTTTAAAGCCTCTGAGGATTATAAAATTAAATCAGACAAAGCAGCAATCTGGTTAATTGCTGAATGAAGACAGAAGGACTTACTCTTACATCAGCAGTCCCCGAGCCTTGTTGAACAATGCACTGACTGCAACAAGTATAAGCTTCCAGCGGATGAAAACTCATCTCACTCGCTCATATATATGTGTATATATATATAAATATAGACACTAACACAGGGATCTCATCAGCATGGAAGAGACATACAGCTCCCATGAGTTTTTACAGAGAACAGTTTGAAGTGTGACTGTTGCTTCTTCCCACCACGTGCTTTTCTTACTGTGAATCTTGGCCGATTGGAGAGGGCATTGAGTGCAGGTGCTGTTGCTTCAATACCCCCCAGCACGCTGAAGCTGAGGAAGAAAACGCCTCCAGACTCAGCTCACCTCTGGTTGATGTATGTAGCGGGTTCCCCGGGCAGTTGCTACTGAGATTTGTGTTCTTCAGAGGGCTATAGCACATTGAAAGAAAAAGAAATTGCATTATGGTGTAAAAAAAAAAATCTATTAGGCTGCAGTTAATTCAATCCTGTTTATTTTGCAACATAATGCTAGAGGATAGGAAGGGGGACATAATAGCTCTAAATGTGGGAACTATGTGGTACAGTTTAAAAATGATAGAGTATCATTCTAGAGACCAATGCACTAAGCTAAAGAAATTGCCATTCATAAGCAGACAGCCATTTTTTTCTTTTTTTTCTTTTTAGTGACCATGTTCACCATTTCCTTACAGATAATATGAAGGTAGGGACTGTGTTTTTGTACTCGTATAATGGTCGTGGTGCTATCTTAACACATATATTAAATGGACTATATGGATTCTAGATTCCAAGCTGAGCTCAAACCGTAGACTGTTTGTATGGGGAAGGACTGCTGCCACCTGCTCTAGGAAAGGCCACCAAAAGCTTAATGAAACCTAATGCCATGTGGCCCTACACTCAGCATTTTATGAATGCCTTGATGCTGGCCTTTCAGATGCTCCGGTCTTTCTTGGTCTGCAGTAGAAAACTCAACCCTTTCTTTGAAATCTTTAATATCATTGGTGCATCATTGCTCCAGCAAATACTGGGGCGATACTGAAGAAATGCAGTTGGTTAATTTTTGTACATGAGCTTTTCAGAGGAATGTATACACACAGCCGTTCCTTTAAGCAGAACCATTTCCAAAATGATGCCATTAAAAGCCTGTTAAATTCTAACAAATCCAGAGCAATAACCATAAACATATGTATAACAGTGCTAAGGCTTGTGTGTGTCATTTTTTCTTCATGTCTAAATGGTCATTTTTTCTTAATGTTGACATCTTTTTAACCAGCACAGTGTGACTTCATGGTGGAAATGGTTTTTTATTTATCGGGAATCTACTCTAGGTAGTTGGGCCCTTTCTTTAGAAAAAAAACTACTTTTTAAAATGCATATCCTCCCTCCTTTTCTAGTGAGCCCGAGGAGGTTGGGACAACTGACACTGTAACACTCATCACTGAACATGAATTCAAATGTTATTTCCCGTGAAAGAACTATATTCTTTGGCACCTTCCGTGAATTCAGACCAATTTTATAAGCATGATTTAAATTAGATGTCATAAAGTTTGTCACTGTTGCAAGCTCAACTGCTTTCATACTCCCAAACTCTCAAACCTCAGTGCTTAAAATGGGAGCATAGGGGTCAGGTTTACCGGGGTGTGAAGGGCATAGTGGGACTTCCAAAAGCGCCCAATTATCTTTAAGCCTTTATGTGGTTACATGTTTAAACAGACTGTTTTTCAGAGGTGCTGAACACCTTTACCTCTCAGCAAACACTAAAGCAGTTGCTGTTCTCTGGAGATCCATGGAATATTGATCCTTAGTGTTTGATCTTTGGAGACTGGCTGCACCCTGCAGGATGGCTTGGAGATGAGTGCTCCAAACAAAATGAGAAGTCAGTGCCTTCTAAAATGGGGCTTCAGGAATTGCAGCTTGTCTTTGTATAATTCAGTGGCCAAAATCCCCTTGATTAAACTGGAAACAAAGTCCAGCCGTGAATTAGAGCTGTGGGTTTTGTTTGGGATTCACCTCTGGCCTAGCTGAGGAGGACAGAGGGCTGCAGAGCCTTTCCTCACACGCAGGTGTGACCAAGCGAGAATCCAACGGAAGACAAAGGATGACAATTTGGGGGAAGGATTTTTATCCAACGGTCTTTTATTAACATGGCACAAGGTACAAAGTAGGAAGAAGAAGTCTTCCTGCGTACAGAGGAAAGCAGCAGCGCTTCACACCGAGCACTAGCCCCTGTCAGCCGCGTAGTTAGTCGCTAGCCCAAGCTCTAGGTGGTTTCCTGGTGGGAATGTTGTGGCTTTCCAACACCACCATTCCCAGTGGATTTGTCTCCTTGAGCGAATACTACCCAGAGCAGAGCTATTTGATTGTGTAGTAACAAAACCCTAAGCTAGTAACATATGAGTAGGTAACACAGAGCCTTTCACATGCATTAGTGTAACTCCTGTGCATATAATAGTATGTAAGAGAAAAGCCGATACCCCTTCTGCACCTCCTCTCGTGTGATGGAGGAGTTGCAGAAGTCCTGCTTTTCTCTTTAGTCCTGCTTTTCTCTTTAGTCCTGCTTTTCTGTTTAGTCCTGCTTTTCTCTTTAGTCCTGCTTTCTGTTTCTGGCGGACACCTTCTGCAGCAGGGGCTGGACCCAGTGAAAAGCACTGATGAAACTCTTGTGCCTTCAGCATGGGCTGTGGGCAGTGATGAACTCGCTCAAGGCCTTCGGAAAACACCTAATCTGAGAACCGTGCCCGCCATTCTCCATGAGCATCAGTCGCACAGCCTAATTAAAGGCGGTGGGTGATGAAGCATCGGTCTGCAGGGGTGACTCGGCCAACAGCAGGTTGGCCCCCAGATCTGATGTCTTCCCACGTTGGCAAAACCCTTGGAGTAAGTCCAGTCCCCAAGGGCCCAGGCACCCGCGCACACTGAGCTTGGCAATGGCTCTGCTGTCCAGGCAGGTGACACTGTGTCACACAGCGGGTGGCAGGGGCCATGTGGGGCTGGGCGAGCTCTGCTTCTGTGGCTGGAGACGGAGCGCGGACGCGGCGCAAGGCTCCTCGCCCCGCTGAAACGCCGAGAGCAGCGCGCTCGGCGCCACAATATTTTATTGTGATCGTTAGTGATAAGATAATCGCCCTCTGAAAATTAACTTGGTCCCTTACTGATACCCTGGTTACTTTATCAGGTTTTCTTGCCGTGGTCTGTATGCCTTTTATTAAAGCACGTGAGCACTGGTTTGCACGTGACTGTAAATCCAGGTTAGAACAGAGCTCAGATTACTGAAAATGTAATTGCAGTTGTCCAAAAGAATATCTGTTAGTGGAAAGGCTGTTGTTGGGCATATCAGTGTGAAAATACTGCCGGGTTAATGTTATCCGGCCTGAGTGACTGGGTTCCGCACAGAGACGGATCCAAGGCTGGTGCCGAGCGCGGGGACAGGCTCCGTTGGTGCTGACGGGAGCAGCGCAGCGGCTCTTCGCTGCAGAGCACTCCGAAGTTATCCGTAGGGATTACATTCCATTGGCAGCTGGTGGAGTCCTTGGCCTTTCTTCGGAGGCAGGTGCACTTCAGAGGGTGAAAACTCAGCCTTGGCCCAAATTCTCTTTAACGTTGTTGAAATTTCAGCATCAAACTGAAAGACTCTGTCTGGTCCTGTGAATTCAATCATGTGTCTGAGAGCGGAATTTGACCTTCAGAAGGTTTAAGATTTGTATTTCTCTTTCTAGACTGGTGGAAATGAGCTTTGCTTTCTTAGGAGTGCCCCCTCATTGTAAATCTAAACCTCTTTGTATTTCAGACTGATTAGTTCCAGTGTCATCACAGAATGGAATTAGGGGGGTGATGAGGATATATGGAAGACACTGAATTGGGCGCCAAAAACTTTCTTTTCTTCTGTCCTTTTAGGGTTATCTGTTGAATGAGATGCCCTCAGTGGTTGATGCAGGATTATCGAATGCAAATGGGCAGAACCCAAACCTGGTGTTCATATGGCAGCGTCTGCACTGCCAGGGCAGCACAGAGATCTGCCGATGCTGCACAAAGCTGCCTTGCAAATTCATATCCAAGCCTGGTTCCTTAGGTTGCCTAAGCTGGGACGCGTCCCTTTAGAAAGCCAGGAAGTTGCTGGAACATCACCTAGGGCAGAGAGCTCGTCCCCCTCCATCCAACAGAGTAACTGCGAGAAAACTCTTTGAATAGAAGGATTTTTCTAGAGGGCTTGAAACAGCGGGGACTTTTTTAGTTAGTTGACAGGTTGTAAGATCTAAGCAGCAAGGAGAAATAAGCACTTAAAAAGATATGAAAAATACCTTGATGGCTGTTAACTTTCATACTGCACAGCGTGGCAGAGGAATGGAAGATCCCAGTGCGTTTGCTCTTGCCATGGACACCCGTGGCAGGTGGCAGAGCCGCAGGGAGAGCCCAGGGAGGTGCTGGTGCAGGAGCCTGCATGGGTGCTGTGCTGCCGTGTTCAGCCAGAGAGCCAGGCCCCAGGCTGAGCCCATGAGCCAGCAAGCAGGTTACCTTTGCTTTTTAATGGAACTGATCTGGAGGTTAATCCGCTTTGCATTTCTTTCTTTTCTTCTAAAAATAGAGCTCTTACCTATTTTCAAGTGTGCAAAAATACTGAAAAGAAAATCTTGCTTGTATATGCATCACATCTTGCCTTTTTATTTATCCCTCGGCCCTGTGCTCCGGCTCGCGCGG